TGGGCCGCGGCCCATAGGTTAAGAATCTTTTTAGATGGGTCCAGAGGAGGGACAGTGGCTAGAAGGATGATAGATGCAGCTGCTAGAGAGGAAGAGAACTTCTTCTTCACTCATATTGACTAATGTTCTGATTAGTGGTAGATTAAGCTTTTGCACAGAGTCAGCAGGTTTGGCAGGTGCATCCACATCAGGACAGTAGCAGGTGTGTCTCTGCAGTGAGGTGATGTTTAAATRACAGCTCGTCTACCTGTACCTACAGGTGAGGCCTTATAGCTCAGTGGTTAGAGCACTGGTCTTGTAAACCAGGGGTCGTGAGTTCAAACCTCACTGAGGCCTGATTTATTTTTCTCCCAGTAAAATATTACATACAAGCTGTTTTATTTTGATTTGAGAACTCTGACGTTTGCGACAGAGGACAGACTGAAGGAGGAGGATGACTCGCTGTGGCGACCACTGAAGAAACGCTCGGAAAAAAATTTAAAGTAACCTGATTTTTACTTTACTTTAAAAAGTTTTTTTCAGACTAAGTAGCTTTTTTAGCTACTCTTTCCAATCAGTTTTGATTCCTGATAATTGTCCATTTAACTCTGAATCATTCATTCATAAAAAACTACACTGATGGACCAGTGTTGTGTCGCCATGTGACAGACACCTTAAAGGAGACAAAACGTGCAAAATCCACTTTTTTAGCTGTTAAATACATTTTGTTGTGGACTTGGAGTCTTTAGGAAGCAGAAAAGTTGAATATCTTTATATTCTGTTGAGCCATATTTTTCAATCCTTACAGTTTTTTTTCCTTTCTTTGACTTTTTCTTATTCTGTGACTGAACTTCTAAATAAGATCTAGACTTATCAACTACAGTTTGGTGGTCTTCATTATCCGCTGGCTCCAACATGTAAGACTGGATGAACCAGTCTGACTGGTCACTGATTGTAAATACAGCAGGTAAAATAAATATTGAACACGTCAACATTTATCTCAGTAAATATATTACTAGAGGTGCTAATGACATGAAATTTTCACCAGATGTCGGTAACAACCCAAGTGATCCATACAT